TACTAAAGAACATGATTAAAAGATTAAATTAATATAAATTTAGTTTATGTAGTTTAAAAAATATGATAATTTATAACAGAAAGTTCTAGCCACTTTTGGTTGAAACTTATGAATACAAGTTTAATTTAATGTTGTTTTTAGTAATTCCTTAATATAATAATATCAAAATAATATTAATGGGTTTAGAGTATATTTTCCCTTCTTTATATAATTATTAGTTATTATTTTGTTATGCTATATCAATTCTTTTTATTTTCTTCAACAAATTAGAGTGTGACTATATTAAAGTAACATATGATACAATAACAATAAAAATGATTGAAGATATAAGAATCTTTAAAACTTTAGATTATAATTACTGGAACAAAGCCTATCAAGTTTCTTATAGTCCTCTTCCAATAATTGATTTCTTTAGGAATCTTTTTTCCTTAATCTTTAGTCCATTCTTCGTTCCTTACATAAATTATCCTCAAAGTTTAATTCTCCACTATATCTATACTAAAGACTATTCATATCAAAGTAAACTAATTAAGGAAATATTGAAACTCCTAATCAATTCCTTACATCTTCATTTTCATATCTAATGTAAATGAAATCAATACAAAGCAGCAGTACTTATTAGTAGTGTTAAATTTCTCTGTTAATTTATCAAAGATTGAAATAAATACTGTAGATTTTCCTCATGTAAAATAAACAAAAATAGAAGATTAAGAAGAATAGTAAAATATATTATTCTCAAATTAAAGATTTCGTGGATTCAAAATAGAAATCATAACATTATATTAAGAAGGACAGTAATACGTCTAATGAAAGAATAACGATTTGCAAATATTCCACTGCATGGTGGGTGATCCAATAGATCATGCTTTATCAGAATATATAAATTCTGTGGATGATACTAAAAAACTGATTGAACTCTTTTTTGGGAAAAAGGCTAATATTTGATTTGCTTAAAAAGTACACATTTAACAAGCAATTAGTAATGTAAGTAATGATGTCTTTGGTTAAAATTCTAAAGAATAATTAATTGAATCCAGTATTTGAAACATTTATTAAAATCGAAATATTGAGATTCTAGCATAAAGCATTTTTAAATTAAATTAAAAAAAGTGAAATTTTAGTATATATATACATATATTAAAATCCAAAAATATTAGATTTTAGAATAAATTGATTAACATACTAAAAAACCCCAACATTTTGGATAATTTTAAGTAAATTTTGGACTTAGTTTCAAGAAACCTAAAGTACTCAAAAGTATTAGAATCCAAAGTTGGGGTTCCTTTTTCACGTCTTTGTAAATTCAAAATCAAAAGTTTTTTAAAGGATAGCTGAGCTTTCAAAGTTAGATGTTTGATTAAGGTTTTTTTTTTAATAGCCACACAAATATCTAAGTCAACATTCATTTAAATTATGTGAATTAACCACACACACATCTCATAATACGCTAGTTGGGCTATAATATATTATATTGAACAACTATAAATTTTGACCTAATAACGAAAGTTTTATAAAATTTCACTATGGATAATTGGAAATCGGGTTTGGGGTTGGCCCACTAGAAGGTTTATTTCAGCAGTCAAATTATGTTAAATTCTCTACACAGGGTTTGGGTTTGGGTTTGGGTTTGGGGTTGGGTTTGGGTTTGGGTTTTGTACATCATAATACTTCAAATTTACTTGAGAATATTATTAAAATAGTCTAATTTAACAATTAATATTGTATGGTTAAAACTCTGAGAGCGTTGAAATTTAAAAGATGACGACGCCAAATTTTTAGGAAAGAATTAAATAAATGTCTTTGTCTATTCAAAGAATTTAAAAAATATTTCTATCAAACAAGTGGTTTTCTTCTGTATTTTTTTAATTTTACCATTATAATGTTATAATAAAATAATATATTTTGAAGTGTTTTAATTTATCCATATAAATATTGATAATACTATGTCTATAAAAATTCATGGATTATGCAGATTCAAGTTTTCAAGATCTGTTAGATTTTGCAATAATTGATACTTTAACATAAAGCAATACCAAAAATTTCTAAAAAAGATTCTTTAAATAATTTTACCTAACTCCTTTTTTAGAAACCAAAATAACCATTAAAAATAAATACAAGAATTTGAACACTAGTTATTGTTTAGATATGTTTCTCAATAAATCAATTTTTAATAGAAGCTTTATTTATCAATTCCTAAAAATAAATTTATTTATTTACTTATGAAAGATGAAAAAATTAAATATATACATAAAGCAATACTAAAGAACATGATTAAAAGATTAAATTAATATAAATTTAGTTTATGTAGTTTAAAAAATATGATAATTTATAACAGAAAGTTCTAGCCACTTTTGGTTGAAACTTATGAATACAAGTTTAATTTAATGTTGTTTTTAGTAATTCCTTAATATAATAATATCAAAATAATATTAATGGGTTTAGAGTATATTTTCCCTTCTTTATATAATTATTAGTTATTATTTTGTTATGCTATA